CATAGATAAAGACAAGCAGCAGTTGTCTCCTGCTCCAATGTCAATCATGGAAAAGTGCTGAATTGTCACACCTCGGATATCACATCACTGATAAACCAATATTGACAAAATCTAAATTTTGTCTTGCTTAGAAAGACAGTATTCTAGTAACTAATAAATCTACAATCATATAGGTTATTTAAAAAATCAAGATTTGTGTAATAGCACATAATAATTTGTTTGCCAAAAACCAATAAATTATAAGCTTTGCACCTTTTCATAAATTCTGAGAGCTTTGGCGTTATCGCCAAGCAGCACTGCGTGAAAGATGATTCTCATTGGTCCGCTCTCATTGTCACTCTCGAATGTCACGTTATAGCCGGACGTAATCCGTGTACACACTAAGCGGGTAATTTGAATTTGTTATATGCATTTTAATTGTTTGAATTTCATAGGGTGGAAGCTGTTAGCTCCGGATAAATTTATTTGAGTAATATAGAAATTTTATTAATATTACCCAATAAAATTATAACGTTGACGCAATTAAAAGAAAAAGTTCATATAAACTCTTGTACTTGTACGTGCCCTTACTTTTCTTCTGCGGGTACGCAAAATTTATTTTCGATAAATTTTGTTAATTTGTTAATCAAAACAGCATATTTTCAGTATTTCATAAGGGTCTCAGGTTTTACTAGTAAGAAGATTTACTTTTACATGCCTTTACTTTTCTGCTGCGGGCACGCAAAATTTATATTCAACCAATTTGGAATATACCGTAGATATACATTCATGTATATTATATACCTATTGTATACCTAGGATATTGTTGTGTCCGATAAAACTACCCGTCTTAACTTCACAACCCGGTTCGAAATAAAAAGCTAAAGTTGCTTAACTACTTTAATAAACAGACAAAATCACTCCAAACAAAGGAACTACTGAACTCTACTTTATTTTACAAAAAAAGGCGTGCGTTCTTAACACAAAGCACCCAATCACACTGCGCATTTTGGCCTTACCCTATTGACCCACTAGCGGGAATTTTAAAAGCCTAAAACTATTTACTAGACAGAGGTGGAGGGCTGATCCTGGACAGTGGTGGATCATAGAAGGCTCTAACAGATATACGTTTTATGAACTTTGATGAATATACATGCATGTATACTCCACGAACATTCATGTTAGGAATGTTCAACCATGTATATTCCCAGGATATTCCCGCAATGTTCTGTATATTTTTTGAACAATCTGGGATATTCATAGAATATCAAATGCTATCTGGGTAACTACCAGTAAGTATATACAAACTAACATTATTTGTAAATAGAGTTCCTGTGTTATATTTTTAGGTGATATAACTGATAAATGCCAGCCAGGCATATTGAATCAACCTCCAGTAACTCCTACTAGAAAGTTGTTTTGAAGTGTTGAAGGGTTGAGCAATATAGAAAATTCCCCAAGGAAATTAAAATTAATTCGCATAATCAACAGAAAAGAAAATCAGTTGAGAAAAGTGAAACG